CAGCCGGCCCGCCCCCCCCCGCACCCCCCGCCGCACCACCAGCCTCAGCAGCAGCAACCACAGCAAGGGTAACGTTAGCTCTATTCATCAAGATTCCTTTGTTGGCCTTTGCTAGCTAGTTAGCCGCAGTTATCCGCGGGAATAAAATGTTGTACTCGGACCGCTGTGTGATGCAGATTTTGCGTTGTTGTAATAGTTAGGTACCAATGAGGAAAGTATTTATTAATAACGACCCAAGGTGTTCACATTCATGGTTAATGAGTTTATCTACTTGAAGTGGTGTGGGTTTGGGGCCCGTCTATTTACCGGGAGTATCCATCCATTTTAGTAACTGGGTGGGTTAACGTTGGTAGTTAGGTTAGATGGCTACTTATTGATATCAAATAGGTTTCCTTTTTTTTCTTAGTTAGTAGTTTGATTGCATACAGTCTTTATAGAAAGCTTATCAGTGTAACGTTAATTTAGGCCCACTATATCCAAAGGGCTTCCTTGCCACGCGGCTTAATCGCAGTCGTTTTTATTGCAGTCCGACTGCAGACTATCACATCTTAAATCATTATAACTGTCTAAATCATGCCGTTTTATTTGATTATCCACAAGTGGTTCAGCACCTTTCTAGAATTTTTAGGTTCTATAGTCTTTCACGCTCATTGTTGTCTTGAGTTACAGCAGTGACCCAGTTTTAGTCTTTGGTTAACGTTGTACTAGTAAATGCATCTGCGTCAGTTTAACGTTTAGTTTTGTCTCAAGTGACCCTACTTTTGAACTTTTGATATTAACTTTTTACAATGTAATCAGGCCTTAATTCTGTAAATTACTAGACTTGCTTGTAAATGTGTATTGCCATGATTTTGCATGTTTTTCCTCACAATTAACCCATTAACTAATCTCTCTACACAGAGACATGAATGGAAAAGCCAAGCATGAATCCAATTCAAGTAGGAAGGAGAGGCCCCAGAAGAGAGGTGGAGGCGGGCGCTTCGAACCCTATGGAAGTGCAAACAAGAGATACCGTGTTTTTGTCAGCAACATCCCATATGATGTGAAATGGCAAGCCCTGAAAGACCTGATGAAAGAGAAAGGTAAGGTGTATGGGTAAGGATTGACTCTTGTCAGCCTTGGATATGACAGAAAGTGCCAGGGTCATTTTGTTTGACCACTGCAGCTTTGAAGGGCTTTTGGGTATTTGTGCAGGGAGTTGTACAATGTTGCTTGAGAGTTTTTGGGAGTTATTTGGAATAAAGTATTCGGATGGGGTCCCTTTTGTTTGTCAACTTAAGAGTTGACCTAGGTGTTAACATTTATTATCTTTTGAGATTACTAAAACCTTTTGTGGTTTTTGTGAAGGTTGTGCACGTGTAAAGCTGGTGAAACCTATGTGAAAATCCACCGGCTTTGGGTCATGAGTGGCACAATGAGATGCTTTTCTCGAAATATTTGAGAAAATATACAGTACTTGCAACATGTAACCAACAGCAAAGCCTGAGCTCTGGGGACATAAATTGGTCAGCATTTTGGAGACATGTCAAATGAAATCATGTGTGAAGCAGCAACTTTGTCTTTTAGTAGGTATTAGATTAAAGATTCTCTTAAATGTACAATATTGATTTTTAACGTGGTGTTACTCGTGAAAGTAGTTGTTTAGTTATGGGGTATCGGTATAAGATGTATCAGGTAATGCACTTAATTGGCATTTACTTTAACATATAGCATGTGTTAAGAAGGGTACAATCCTTTTTCAGAAGGAGTGCCTGGTATTTGTTTTATGACAACTGTCTGGAGTAAATATGCATTTTCTTTTTTAGGTGCGACCTTGACAAGCAAATGTTTTCTCAGCAGATCGCCATGTTGTGCCAAACAGCTATGCGTTGGGGATTTCTTTGGGGTACAGGTCTACAAAATGAAGCAACTTCTTATGCATTGTCCTTGGCTCTACAGGTTTGGTCACTGATGTCCATACGTTGAACGGACATGATCTGAAACGAAAGCATGGCTGTGGTCGACGCTGAATCAAAATTCTGATATTGTGCATTCTGGGACCAGGTCCACTTTACGAACATGTTTGTAGAGTCGAGATGTTTCTGTTCCCTAAGAGCTTGTCGTCATTATGGTTAGTTTTCTAGATGTAGGTTTCCTTCTAGGATTAGCTTAAGGACAAATGTATTGATGCATTAGTCTGAGGTTTAAAATGGCAACATTTGACAAAGTAAGAGCAGTTTGCAATGAAATAGGCTGAGGCATTGAAAGGGTTTTGCCTACTTGAAATTACTTGGTTAATTATCTTCATCTAGAAGGTGGTGTTCACGGTATTATATCCAAATAGGAAGGTTGATGGCCATTTCAACAGTTGTTGTCCTCAGTCTATTGCTTTTGGTGCTTCGGGAGAATTCCAACAAGGACAGGCTAAGAAGTCTTGATTTTATATATATACTTTTTTTTAAAGACCCAAGCTTGCTTTTTGTAGACCTGTACCATATTGTGCTGAGGTGCTGGGGGAAGGCTCCGGATTGACAGTCTGAGTTCACTGTCACTGGCCGCCCTACTTGTTTCTGTTCTAAACCCCCATTGTTCTCTCGGCTTCTCTCCCCCCGGTGTGTGTCGTCTCTGGAATCTGATTTGTAGTGGGTGAGGTAACGTACGTGGATCACTTATTGGACGCAGAAGGCAAATCGAGGGTAAGTGCAAATACATCCAAATAAAAATATGAATAATCCAAGGCAGACTTGTGTTTGTTAGCTTTGGTTTCTTTATTTTCATTGCTGGGAATTGTTCAGATTCAACTGGTGGAGTGTGTGAGATGGAGACATGCTGGAGGCGTGTTTTATTTGGTGTCATCTGCAGGATTGATGCTCTTATAAAAGGATGTCATCTTTCTTCGTAGGCAATCCTGTGAGATTGCAGTAGCTGACAATGTCCCTTTTGGTTGCCGGATTTCCTCCTTATGACCTAAAGGGGTCTAGTCTGCCAGAGGTTGTTACAAGGCTGTTAGATGGTTGTTAAATTTAACTCATTCTGTAGAAATGCTTTACTGGAAGTCACCTCCAATATCTTAGTAGTGGGGAATCCTGTCTCACTGTGGATTTTCTGCCCTTTGGATGTTGGAAATATATTCTCTATATTTACCAGACTTGCCTGCATTGTGTTAGTGACTGTGGAAAAAATGTGATATCCTAATAATGTAATTTTATTTGCAAGCTGTGGACAAGCCTTCTAGGCTTGTGTGATGTTGATCTTTTGTGCATGAATTTTTTTTTTTTTTTTTTGTCTCAAAACATCTGTTATAACCATTACTTTTACTAATTTGAATTGTTCTTTATTACTTTTGGTGCGGCCTGTTCTGACGTCCTTCGTCAACAAAGGGTTGTGCGTAAGTAGGCTTCTGTCCATTTATTGTCATCTACTTTAACTGGAAATGTTTCAGTCCTGTGGTATTAGACATTTTTTTGAAGGGGTTAATAGAAATTTATTGAGTTTATTTATTCACATCATATGGTGTATATTTCTGTCAGCGTTGTTGAGTTTAGGACTGAAGAGCTAATGAAGAAAGCAGTGGAGATGGTCAACAAGCATAACCTTAATGGACGACCCCTAAAAGTGAAGGAGGTAGGCCCCAGCTTGAATGACCAGGAAAACTAACTTTTATTGTGAGACCAAAGTTGTGAATTTGTCATATTCTCTTGCATTTTGATAGGACCCTGATGGTGTGATTGCTCAAAGAGAAATCAGTAAGTCACAAGGTGGAGGCCCTCCAGGAGGCCATGGCGGAATGGGTGGAATGGGCGGAATGGGTGGAATGGGGGGGATGGGGGGAATGGGAGGGATTGGAGGAATGGGCGGAATGGATCGCATGAACATGGATCGAATGGGCCCTGGACCAAATGGCCCCATGGTCAACATTCCTCCGAGCCTGATGAACAACCCTAACATTCCCAACGAGATCATCCATGGTCTTCAGGCTGGCAGGATTGGCAGCACCGTCTTTGTGGCTAATGTAAGAGCTTTCCCATTGTTTTTGTTATACAAAAAAATACATGAGATGAGTGAAGAGAGCAGCATTTACATTTGAGATACGGTAACAGTAAATATTTGGTATGATTACTTGATAAATGTATAGGTTGGCACAACATGTTTAATAGATAAATTAATCAGTTAAACTGACAGAATAGTTTAGAAACAGTTAATTCATTTAAACTTATTTATATCAAATGTTGTGAAAGATTTGTTTGACTCTACATATGGTTAAACAAGTAACCATTACTAAAATTCCTGTTTGTGCCTACAGCTTGACTACAAAGTGGGCTGGAAGAAGCTGAAAGAAGTGTTCAGCATGGCAGGCATGGTGGTGAGGGCTGACATTCTGGAGGACAAAGATGGGAAAAGCAGAGGCATGGGCACAGTAACATTCGATATGCCCATTGAAGCAGTGCAGGCTGTCTGTATCCTTTGAAACTGTTGTTTAGCATACATTTGACACACATGCACATAATTTTAATTCGGTTTACTGACATTTATTTTTCAAGACATCTGTTTTTCTTAATGATTTCTCAGCTATGTTCAACGGGCAGCTGTTATTTAACAGGGTTATGCATGTCAAACTGGTATGTCAACTAAACTTTTGTATTTATTGAATTGCATTATTTTCTGACACCATAGTCTGAATGCATGTATGTGGAATTTTTTTTTCTCAGGATGAGAAGTCCCTGCCCAAAGATTTTGGACCAGCTGACAGAGCTGCTGCCCTTCCCCGTAAGTGTACCTTTTAGTTGTCGTTATTGGGGTTTTGGGGGGGGGGGGGGGAGGGGCCCTGAAACTATAGAAATACTTGAGATGACTCTTGTAAGTCCTAGATCTGTTTATACCCATCTACTTTGCTGGAGGACCAGCCAACCCCTTTTGCTGTGGGTAGTTCAATATTAAAGTCACTGTATTCTAAGCCAGTTAAATTTAGTTGTTTCAACTTGATGTAGAACAGCATCTGTAGTATTTCTTTGTTTTGGGTGTAGACTTAAAAACACTTGGGTAGCAACAATAGGACACTTTGTTATCCATTAAAATAGTGCCCTATATGATGCACACTTGATGGCCTATCAGGAGCCACTTGGATCACTATTATGCACAGAGTATAGCATAGTATTGACTGTTTCCTGGGAGTCCGCATTATTTGATTTCTTCTATTGGAGATGTGATACTAATGAATGTGAATGAGTCCATTTCTGTCCAAATACAAAATCTTAGTACGATATTTTTTTTTTTTTTTCTCAGGTGGCCTAAGTGGTATTGGTTTGGGCCTGGGTCCTGGTGGCCAGCCCATTGATGCTGCTCAACTCAACAGAGGAGGTGGTGGAGGCATTGGTAACATGGGCCCAGGAGGTAACTTATGCGAGTGTTGTTTTGTGTTAACCTATTAATAAAAGCTGCCTTTAGAATACATAGTTCATGATTGCTCTACTTACTTGTAGGAATGGATGGAATGGGCTTTGGCAACGTTGGCGGTCGTATGGGAGGAGGTATGTACTAGAACTCAATCACCTGGGACCCACATGGTATTTATCTTAAATGTTGCACTTGCTGTTATGCAAATTCAGCATGACCTTTGATTAAAAAAAAAAAAATTGCATAATCCCATTGTATAAATTGGCATTTTTATATTATAAGCTACCTAATTCGGGTACTGTAAGGGTGCTCAGATATTCATTCATTTCTGGTTGTGCCTTCTGGTATTAAGACTTCTCCCCCCCCCTTCCCCCCTTTCAGGAATGGAGAACTTTAGCGGAATGAACAACATGGATCGTTTCGGTTCTTCAGGAATGGGTAGAATGAATGGTAAGGAGAGGTTTTGAGTTGTAGTTAGCACTCCAAAGCAAGCGTGGAGAACATTCACGTTTTGCTAGACGATTCTAATGGTTTCATCTCTTGCGTTGTCAGAGATGGACCGTGGGATTGGTGGTGCTTTTGACAGGGAGTTTGGGCGAAATGAAATGGGAATGTCTCGCAATAATTTTGGAGATTCCTTTGAAAGAGGAATGGGTTAGTATTTTCAGGATGAAATTCCTCTAACTGCTGATAACCTCATCAGATGTAATGCTCACGTCACCAGAGATGCTCCCTTTTAACCTTTTTTGTTTTTTGTTTTTTTTTTATTTAATATTTTTTCTTTTGTTTGCTCTGTTACAGGAAACTCCCTGGGTATGGACCGCATGAACTCTGGAATGGACCGCCTGGGAGGCAGCATGGACCGCATGGGAGGGATGGACCGAATGGGCATGGATAGGATGGACCGCGTGTCTGACCTGGACAGATTGGGTTCTGGTTTTGACCGGATGGGCTCTGGAATGGACCGGCTGGGGCCCAATATGGACAGACTAGGACCTGGCCTGGACCGGATGGGCTCCAATGTGGATCGCCTCGGCCCAACTGGGTTTGACCGCTTAGGCCCATCTGGTATGGATCGGATGGGGTCTGGCATTGACTTTGGTTCCCCGATGAATATGGATCGCATGGGCAATACTGGGCTTGACAGAATGACCAGCAGCTTCGACCGCATGGGCTCTGCTGGAGGACTCGATCGCTTCCCCTCTGGTGGCCTCGACCGCATGAGCTCTGGCATGGACCGGATGGGATCTGGAGGTGTTGGTGGCCAGTTTGATCGGTCTGCTGACTTGGATCGTGGCTTTGGTGGTAATTCCTTTGGAGGAGCTGGAGGGCCTGGAACCGGGGGAGGCAATGTCAGGAAGGGCTGCCAGATCTTTGTCAGAAATGTAAGTCTTTGTCTGCAGGGAGTTAAATATGATTCAGTTGATTTGGTATCGTATGTGATTTTTAATTAATTTTGAATGGATTTTATTTCAGCTGCCATTTGACTTCACCTGGAAGATGCTGAAGGACACCTTCAATACATGTGGTAAATTAGCTGTAGTTTTCAAATATGAAAACAGGAATGATTAATTCATAGTAACATGATTTTTAACATTGGATACGCTTTCCTGTCTTGTCTTGGCAGGTATGGTCCAGTATGCTGATATTAAGATGGAAAATGGCAAGTCCAAGGGCTGTGGTGTGGTCCGCTTTGATAACCCTGAAACTGCTGAGCGTGCCTGCCGAACCATGAATGGCTATCGGCTGAGTGGCCGCGAGATTGATGTTAGGATTGATAGAAATGCATAAGTTGTGTGTTGCTTCTCACATTTGATTTAGTCCCTATTGTCCAAACACTCTGTATCATCTGAATCAGCTTTCAACATATTCATATTATATTCACTTGGTTTGTTAGATATTTGTAACATTGAACATGTTAGTTGGTAATTTGTAACCATGAAAGTGTTGTTTTAGTTCTAGCTTGAAATTTTAATTTTTTTTTTAGAGACCAAATTTTAATTTTCTTTCTGCTGTGCTTCACTTGTCATTACCTTTGTTCTATAAGGTGTTTTGATAAATAAACATCAATATTTGAAATGCTTTATTGGCCTTTTTTGTGTTGCATGCTAATATAGGGAGTGCAGTGAACATTCAAGATCAACCTCCAGCTTTCTAGTGTTGTAGTCCATCCATCCATCTGCAGGCAATTTAGTGTCACATTTCATATTTTATTTGGAACTGTACAGTAATACGACGCACTGGGCAATTTATGTATCTAAATGATGGCAGGTTGCGCATGAATGCATTATACACCAGTGGATTAATTAATAGATGAATCCCACTAGCTCTGAAGAGCCTCCCCCTCGTGGACATGGAAGGTCACCGCCGGAAGAAGGTCATAGGCGCTACAATCAAGATGGCGGCTCCCATGTGTCAGTGTTATCGGGTTAGTGTTTGGGTCATTTGTGCTAAATATCTACATTTTAACACCGCTGATTAACAAGAAAACACCCCAAATGATGAATTTGAACTCCAAGCGTTACAAAAGCCAGCGAGTGTCATGGGTTTTCCTTACCAGTGTGCTAGTGTTGCGTTAGCTTGTTAGCTAGCTCTGAATGTTGGATTTGCAGCCGGTGTTTTGGCTCAAACGTTTAAAACAAACTTGGAAAATTAAACGTTTCCCTAATAAGACTACGACTTCGGTAGCTATATATTTTTGCTTTTCGCCTCGTCTTCTAATCAGGGTTTTTGTGTTCATCCTAAACGTGGTCACCAGTGCGTCATGCTGCTTTAACTGACATGTCTCATGCCGACGTTTCATCTGCAACACCTTATTGCCGTAATGCTATATAGAACTCTGTTAAGCAAAACTAAAGAGTTTTATCCTGAATCTCATTATCTGAGCAGAATGTTGAACTTTCACTTTGTTTTCAGATATGTGTAACGTTAAGAAGAGGCTTGGTGGCATTCCCTTCCTCTTATCTGCTACTTCACAACAGATCCAATGTCTACAGGATACCTGCGTTCCTCGCAAATTCCCCGCAGGTACAAGCACTGCCACTATGCTATTGTCATGTATCTTGCTGCTTATGCTGTATCTGTGCTTTTCCTTTAGCTGTAAGTATCAGCCTTCCTCTGGAGACGACAGATATAAGGTGGCTGTTTTTGGATAAAGTTGTAACCTAGCAAAGGAGCATAAATGTGAGCATTAATAACTTCAGAAGAAACCAGGAGTATGTTAGGGCGATAGATATGTGACGGATTTTATTCCATGGCCCGACATTTTATTGACATATTTAGAGCCCAGAAGAAACCACACAGTTGCTCAAACATTGTCTTCTTGTAAAGACAGTATTAGAGAGTTCCCTACCTAAAGTCTATCAAGTCCTATTGAGCAGTAGAGGGCACCTCCCCTGCAGGTCTGAGTGCACAAGTTATGATCATAAGGTTTATTTGATATACTTCAGATATGCATGGGGTAAATTAATTGTTTTTTTTGTTTGTTTTCATTTATCCAAGGTGTCTTGGTCACCCCTTCTGCAGGCAAGGTATTTGTCAGGGGAGAAAGGCAGTGGCAGAAAAGGTTTCCTGGGAGAGTTTCTGGACAACCTGAAGCAGGAGCTAAACAAGAGCAAGGAGATGAAAGAAAATATCAGGAAGTTCCGGGAAGAGGCCAAAAAGCTGGAGGAGTCAGATGCATTGAAACAAGCTCGAAGAAAATATGTTAGTATAGGGCAGCACACAAACACACACACAACATTTCAATCCATGCTTTTATGAAAAATAAGTTTTAGGTTGGTAAAGCTCGTCAGTTTTTTTTTTTTTTTACCTGCTCCCAAATTCTCTGTCTCTTTCCCAGAAAAATATAGAGTCTGAAACGGTGAAGACATCTGAGCTTCTCAAGAAGAAGTTAGGAAACATCTCTGAAACGGTTAAAGAGGTAAATGTGGTCACAGTGAGAGGTAGCCTTTCTTTCAATTGTTATATAATAGATATGCTCTCCAAGATGATACTAGTACACTTACAAGGTACTGTATGTGTGATTGTGTGGGCAGGGAATAGAAGAGGTCAGTCGAACAGAAATTGGGAAGAAAATCAAAGAGGGAATGGAGGAAGCAGCCAAAACAGCTAAGACTTCTGCAGAGTCTGTCTCTAAAAGCGGAGAGATGTTGGGGAAGACTGGTGCGTTCAGAGCATTATCTCAGGTATGCAGTCATTGTGTTTCTACTGTGCAGATATATTTCCTTGTTCATAGGTGTCTGAAAGTGATAAAACTAAAACTAGTTATTTCTTGTTTTTTCTGCTACTTGTTTATTTTCAGGGCATGGAGAGTGTGAAAAAAGAGATTGGTGACCTCGGTCACACCGGCCCTTATCGGCCTCCTGCCACACTGAGGAAGAGGAGTGAGTTTTCCTCCAAGGGGGCAGGGGATGACGGCAGAGTCTTCGAAGCCAATGAGTATGTGAATGCCCTCTGCTTTACTGAGAGATGAATACCTCTGAAGTTCAGAGGTAGCTAGTACAACTCAAATGACCACACAGGTCTTGGCAGGTTATCTGAGACTGCCTGAGAGTTTTGACACAGTTTCTAAACATGAAAATTCTTATTGCGCCACTCCCAGGCAACAGAGATATCAAACTATTGTTTAATGTTTGTTACCAGGAGAGAATCTAGTAAGTGGTTATACTGTGTTTTAGGAGCGGGGTAACATTTCTCAAGCTGAACCTAGTTCCAGTGTTTTGGCCATGTGTTCCCTCTTTGGTTAATACTGCTAAATGTGATGTTGTCAGCTTGAGTGCAGTTTGTCAAGAGTGACACCTGTTTCTCTCCGCTAGCTGTCTGAAGCTTTATTTTGTGTGTTCTTCAGGGAAGCTATGGGTGTAGTGCTTCACAAGGATTCAAAATGGTACCAACAGTGGAAGGACTTCAAAGACAACAATGTGGTCTTCAACAGTAAGAAATAACTGATCTGTGTCTTTCTATTTCCACCCTTATATCTAGTATGCTTTTACTTTTTATCAACAGTTTGCCCCTGCATATAAGTAACATGAAGTCCAAGTCAGCTAGTATCAAATCTGTGCAAATTGGTGTGGGAAAAGAAGCATACAGTAAATGGAATGGTGCAGGATAATGATGAAGGTTAACAGTAGTGTGGTCCTACGCCTCAGTTTCATAGTCGTTTCATTCCTCATGCTCTAACCAGCAGGTCTGGCAGGCATTTGTATTTTTGATAGGAAACATGTTTAATCTCTGTATGTTAAATTACTTATGAATTTCAAAGGATTTGTTGAACTGAGAGATTTGTCTTGTGTGTGTGTGTAAATGGGGTCAACTTAAAATCTGACACACTCCTTCTTATGTTGACTGCAGGGTTCTTTGAGATGAAGATGAAGTACGATGAGAGTGACAATGCCTTTATCAGAGCATCTCGTGCTGTTACTGACAAGATGACCGACCTCATAGGTGAGAAACCCCTGTTTTGATAGATGACAGTCATACAGATAGGTGTAATCAGGCTATAACGGAGATGATATGACAGTTATATGCACTTCATAGCATCTGTAGCTTGAAATGCGAATGCATCCAAGGTCAAGGTCAAAGTGTTTATTTGTCATATGCACAGTTAGGAAACATGTTTCCCTGTACAATGAAATTCTTACTTTGTCGTCCACATGAATGCCACAAAATACAAATGAAATATAAAGTAGATGAATAAGTAACACAAAATCTAAGGCACTTTAAGCAGCAAATTCAGCAATATAATAAAAATATATAAGAATATAA